TGCCCAGGGAGGTGGTTGAGTCCCCATCCCTGGATGTGTTTAAGAATAGGGTGGATGATCTACTTAGCGATATGGTTTAATGGGGATTAGGGATGGTTGGACTTGATGATCTCTAAGGTCTTTTCCAACCTAGAAATCTATGAATCTATGAATCTATGAAATGGACCATGAGTCTGAAGGTGAGTGAGGAATATGGCACTAAGAGATAAAAAGACTGATCAGAGGGGAATAAACAGGACTCAAAAGAAGTGCTAGGAAGAATGTGACTGAAATTATGAGGAGAGAGGATAAGTAGCTTGAGACTGATGTAAATATAGTTTGAAGGAAATGAAGAGACACTGGGACAATGGGACTAAGTAGAAACCTTGGATTCCTGTGCTTCTGCATTCCTCTGCTATGAGCAAATATCTTTTGAACTCACTGAAGAGGATTGCTCTCCACTGGCTGAATGACAGAATGACAACCTACCAACTGATGAACCATGTGGCATCCAGTTTAAATCTCTTGATAGAATATGAATTATTAATATTATAACTTTGAGAAGTTAAGAATTTGGGAAGCTTTACACTGAAACTCATATTAACTAAGCATTAAGATGAACATTTATCAAGTATAGGTCTACCATCTATGTATACAATCTCTGCATGCTGCTAAAACTTTAAATCATATAACTGCATACCATGTTTCCAAGGACTGAAAGATTGTCACTATTCTATGTAGATTCTGTGCAGTCCTATGATGAGAGCTTTTTCTCTCATTTTCAGTTTTTGTCTCTTAAATATACATAGAGATAAAAGCGCATATACATATTAATTTCCTGGTGCTGGGTACAATTCCAACTTATTTCTCTGATAAATAAAAATAACGAATTTGACTTCAGCAGAAAAAAAAGATACATGACTTTACAGTAGTCACTATAATATTGATAATAATTAATTCATCTCTTTAATGCAGATGCAGCATACACTTCCGCCAGAGTTTAGCAGAATTGATACAGATTTAAGTTACCACCTCCTCTGTGTTGCATACTTTCAAAATTACTAGTTTTAATTTAACAATGGTGATGGCAATTCTTATGACTAGTTACGGCAAATGTGTTCACAAATATAAATAAAGGGCTCACATCTCCTCTACAGGTCTGCCTAACTTTGCCATTTGAGTATACCCAAAAATCCGTCATATTAAAAACTCTGACATGCTCAGGTTCCCCGGGTAAAACAATTAGGAATGAACAAACTCTATACAGAAGTGATTAAATGTCATTTTTTCTCAGAAGCATTCCCTTCTGTATCACAGACTTGAGATAAGATTATTTGTGAAGTTAAAATGCCAGATTTTTTCTTTAAGACATCCCTTTAAATTTTAAATTTAATTTTCATAAAGATCAAAAGAATCAATAAAATTAAACATTAAAATTAATTTTTAAATCAATTGGGGTAATATTCAACTTACCTGATGATAACTGTCTAAATGAAAGTTGTATAGTCTCAGCTAGTTATCTTGGTTCCTTGAGCTGTACATGCTTCTAGAAAGCATTTGTTCCTGCTAAGAAAAACATCAAACATAGTAGGGTTGAAACTCTCTGAAGATGTTGATTTCTGTCTGCTAAGTGTAGAGGGAGCACAAGTGCTCAGGATTAGATCACATCCATGTCTTTTAAAATCAAAAGTAGTTTGACAATTTCCCCCTTTGTGCTCTTATATATACACAAAAAATCGGTATTTTGAATCATAAATTATATTTTAAGACTGTAATTCACAATGACCTATCACAGACTGCTGATTGGATTCATATGTATGTTAGTATTATAATTAATTCTTTATTTTTCAGATAAAGCATTGTATCAGAACCAGTCTCGAAAGGACTACAACTCCAAAATGAAATATATTTTTCTGGTGATAAATCTATATGTCTGTCTTTCATGAGGAAACACATGTGTGACAGCTATTGTTTGCTCCATAAAGTACAATATGTGTATCTATTTTTTCCATCTAGATTCATCAGAAACTTATGGCAGCGAGCAACTTCACCAAACAGTGATGACTAGTGGGGAACAGTGTTTTATCACATAGAGTTTGCAAAAAAAAATCCTTTTGTTCAGGTTGTTACAGTCTCTATGTTTTTAAGAGTTTACTGTTGCATTTCTTCAAACAAACAAGATTTTCTTATATAATTTTCTATTCTTTCATGTCCTTCTCCCTTTTTATGCCTTGCATCTTCATCTGCTGCTTTCTAATTGCTAGGGAAGGCAGACAAGATGCCCCATTGGGAACAGATGGCTTTCTGGAAATCTACCAACAAGGACTACTCCTGGAATAGATTTCATCTGCAGGCCCCACACAGAGGTAATATATGATACCTACAAATAGATAGTGCTCCAAAGGCTTAGGAAGCAAAAAAATATATCCTGCTGGAGTTCTTAAGCCTGTTATGACCACAACTTGCCAGCAGAAAGGAAGGCTTAAAAATGAGTCCTATATATAGCATTCAATTTTGAAGTTAATTTTCTTTACTTCCATATCAGTCCATATCCTTCCATATCATAGGGACAGCTACGCTTAAAATATACTGTTTCTAAAGGGCTGTGTTTTACTTCTCCATGGTGGATTTAATACAAAATTTGAAATCAGCTATAATGTCATTCTACTTTACAAAAATGGTGTGAGATGTAAGAAAATATTTGAAAAGAATGTTAAAGTCTTTACAGGAGTAACAATAAATAATACAGGAACACATACATTGG